ACACCAGGTACTTCCATGCAAACGTGGAGGAATGTAATGAACATTAACCAGAAGCTATGGATCTCACATATACCTATGACCCTTAAAAGCTTACATGACCTGAAAAAAATTATCTCCCCATATGAGCCTGCCCAAGTTTTAAAATGCTTCCCATGCTTCCCCAGGGAGGGCTGCTTTCAGAGGCATGTTTGGTGAAGACAAAGGAGAAAGCCTTTACAGTGGCTGCTCCCAAGTTATGAAAGTCCCTTCCCTGAAAGGTCTGGTTGGCCCTCTTACTGCTGTCTTTCTGCTAGTAGGTAAAGAAAGACCTTTTTAACATAAAAAGTTTCAAATATAGAGGAATTCATTTAGCATGTTGTGGTTGTGAAAGCTTTTCACAGCCAGGAGGGTATGTAGTGGCTTTATTTATTTATTTATTTATTTATTTATTTATTTATTATGTTTGAAGCATCTTTTAAATTGTGTTTCAGACTTGTTTTCAACAAGCGTTTTCAAGTAGTACGTCAATTAGATTGTGATTTAACTCGGAAAACTAAGATCTTTTAAATTGTATTTTACTTTAAAATGTTGAATGCTCTCTGGCATGGCATGCCAGGAGAAAGGCAGGATATAAAATAGATAATGAAATACAACATGCCCCCATTTATGGCATGAAAAGGAGAATGAATGAATAAACCCATTAGTAATTAGACAGTTGGTGGTTTTATCATTTTACACATAGAGTAGAACATCGCTTCTCCACTCTTTCATGCATTCTGCAGTCTGAAACCATCTGTTATGCTGAATAGGAAAGGTTGGCAGTTCAAGCCTGGGTTGGGGTGAGCTCCCACCATCAGCCTAGCTTCTGCCCACCTAGCAGATTGAAAACTGTAATGTGCGTAGATAAATAGGTACCGCTTTTAGTGGGGAGGTAAGAAAAAGGCACCAATAAGAACATGCTGACATTTTGATCGGGAGGATATCCATGGACAACAAAGCTCCTCTGTATGGAAGATGGAGCAGCACCACCCTGTGACCGGAACTGAGCACAGCCTCCAGATGCCGAAGACGGAAAAGATGGGAAAACCTACTTCTGTTTATGTATTGTCTGTCCTTGTTAAAGGTATAATGGCATTGAATGTTTGCCATATATGTCTTCTGTAATCTGCCCTGAGTTCCCTTGGGAAGCTAGAGTGGAATATAAATAAAGTATATTATTATATTATTAGGATCTATCCAGGTCAAATTGTCAAGCACATCCTCCATTCCACTTTACAAATGCCATAGAGAGGGGATTTCCAGTATAAAAAGAAAGATGGAAAATATTCTTCAAATATCTCTCAAGGTTTTTTTTTCCTTGCCTTCCCTTACCTCTTCCTGCATACCTACCCACTCTCTTCCTTTCCTTTCCTTTCCTTTTTGTTTTCTTTTCTTTTGTACTTCCAGCCTGAAGGAGAGTTGTGATCTCACAGGCTTGCCTACTACTCTGTGCATTACTTTGTTGGTTATAATAAAAGCAATAAAGAATAAGATGAAGCTCCAGCCAGGTGTGAAGGAGGCGTTTTCTGTTCCTTACCAAAATTTAGGCAGGCATCATGCCCTAGCCTCTATTTTGGAGAAAAAGAGGTTACCTCAATAGACTAGTACCCCCTCCTTTGTCCCACTTCATGCCATGTCATTTTGTTTTATGCCTCCCATCCAAGTGTTTTTCATGTGTGCTTTATTCTTCTTTTCTGTTGCCAACCATTTGCAGATTCTCTCGATAAGGGTATTATATTTACATAACAGAACTCACGAACAATGCCTATTTTATTTCCAGGCTGACACAGACCAGAGCCCAGTAATGCATACTCACAAAGAACCTATTAACGTCCCATAAGCCTCTGCAGTGCTGACAGGATGATGGACTTTTCTGAACTCTCTTTCACAAGTGGAAAGGCATTAAACAAAACAAAAGCAATAAACTGAAGATTGGACACAATCCATTACTAATTATTTATACAGAGAGAGCATTTAAATTGGCATTGCCAGTTAAACTTTATATTGCAAATGTAACATAACAGCCATAAGCATATAAGATATTTACAACTCTTTCTCAAACTTTTAAAGGAGAGGACTGGTTCACTATCCCTCAGACTGTTTTTTTGGGGGGGATTATAATTTTGGGAAAATAAATGAATTTCTATTCACACTGTACATATCTTATTTCTAGTGCAAAAACACACAAAAGAACAACATAATATGTAAAAAAACCCATTTTTAACCAACATAAACATTCTTCATTTCAATGGGAAATGTGGGCCTGCTTTTGGGTAATGAGAGTCAAGTTAATTTAGGATTGTTGTTGTTGTGTACCTTCAAGTTGTTTCAGACTTAGGCTGACCCTATTTCTCAAGTTTAGGAAAAGGGCCGGATAACTGACTTTGGAGGACTTCATTGGGCCTGTAGGCCTTAGTTTGGGAACCTCTGTACTAGATCAATGACTCTCCCAAACTTTGGTGCTCTAGATGTTTGGGACTTCAGCTTCAGTTGGCCAGGATGGCTGGGGTTTCTATGGGCTGAAGTTCAAAATACCTGAAAGACCAAAGTTTGGTAATCACTGTTCAAAATGGTTTTCAGAGGAATTTGAAGTCAGAATAATTAAAGCATAGGTATGAACTTGTTATTTTTCAAGTATAGCTGATTGTTGTGTTGATGGTTGCTTCTGCTCTCCTTTCTCCCCTCCACTTACCTCTCTTCCTTCTGCGCTTAGTTGCTATCATCATCATCATCATCACCACCACCACTGTCATCATTTAATTGCTAGAGATAGGGAGGACAGTTTGTAGGTCTTTCTATCACAGATGCCAAATAATTTCATCAACCTTGCAAAATGAGTACTTTGATGAGAGTGAGGAGCTTTGCCAATTTACTTCAGACAGCAAAATACTTGGACCTGCAATGTGGCCATTGATGGATGGAAATTGTTGTTGTTGTTCAGTGACATTTTCAAATTCTAAAGTTTCCATTATGCAAGTTCCTCCTCATTATTAAATGTGCAATTATGGAGAGCAAGATTATACATTATGAGAGACAGGAAGATGCATGCTATGTGGAAAATGTCTAACTGGGACAGAAGCAATGGGAGTGTATGTGGCTGAGGAAAAAAATTAAATACCATTCTACTGTCACCATGAGATGATTGTCAGAAAGAGGGCTGAAGTGAAGATGTTACCTAAGAAAGGAAATAACTAGATAACCTTAGGCAAGCAATTGGCTCTCAACTTCAACATAGCATCTATGGTATGATGGATTATAACATGACTTTCTTTGTAGAGTACTTTTGAAAGGATTGCTGAGAAAATGTGTGGATTTCTGCAAAAGCATAATATAGTAATCTGGCTGTGAAAGGAGAAAATTACAATTCCTTCCTTATGGCAAATTCATGTGACCTTGGCGGACGTACCTTAATTTCCCCATCAGAAAAATGGGACTTTTAATAATCATCATAATTCATTCAGATACACACAGCTCTGGTGTGATTTGGAACTCTCAGATTTAAGGTACCACTGAGAAGCACAGAGTTCAGTTGATTATTTATAGCTCACTCAGTGCTGTCCTTAAACCGGAGCTTGAAGGTCACGTATTTGATTTCCCACAGAAGAAATTTCATTTCCATCTTTTTACTAAGAGGCGATAAGTTTTGTAGATGACAAAATTGATATATGTTTCATCTGACCTATCCCCTCCACATTTACATTTTGTATGGGATGGATAAATACTTGTTTGTTCTGCTCAAATTGAGCCTGTATATGCCCCTAATAAAGAGTTGCTCATGGAGACCTTGACGAAGGGTGTTAAACATGAAGGGGAGAATTCCCTTCAGTATATATATATCACTGGACAATGAATAAATAGTGTAGACTTGCATCTCCCTTATTCATCACATTTTATAAAACAGCAAGGCAGGAGATAAAGTGATGATCCTTCCTACTGGTAGGCATACTAGCTCAGCTGTCAAGTCATGCAGCCTCAGCATATCTCTAGGTGTCTGGTAGGTGAATGAGTTGTGAATGTGTGTCTGTGTATATGCTCTGTGTACCACGCCGATCTTATTTGATTAATGGGAAGGTTCCCTACTCGTTCCTGTAAGGATTTACAAAGCTATGAAACGAAGAGTTAACACTGGAACAACACCCCTAGCTAAGTGACAAAGCCAGCCTTTTAATTCCTCTCTACTAGCTTTCCTAATTGGCTGCCAAGTCTCTAGAAATGTCTGTGTATTTACAACTGTTGGGAGCATTGCTGCCATACCAAAAAGATTTTATTTTTTTAATGTTAAAACCATGTTGTGCTTTTGCAGGGGAGTGGGGTGTAGACATTTAGTAAATGAATGCTTCTGAACTAATTCTACATATTGTTCTAGCATTGTGTCTTTTGTGATTTACCAAAAAAAAAGATGAACAAAAAGTCTCAAGCCAGAGAGGGGAAAAAAAACCCTGTGGTTAATAAAATAAAAAATTGCAAAAGGAAAAACTTCCCATCATATTTTCCCTACAGTTTTTATATATCGGGTAGCTGCTGAGAACAATTCTTGAAGTTGTATTTATTATTGTTAGTGGGGTACGATATTTCATGGCAGAAATGATGGATGACAACTTAAATTTGTGTCCAGGGAATGAAGGTGAACTGTGACAGAGTTATTTATCTTGGGAATGGAGGTTAGGGTCAGGCGAGGCTGGGTGCCCGAAGGCACAAGACATTGACAAATTCATCCTGCAGCCCTCATATCTGAAGGCTTTTGTTTTGGATCCTGGCTACTCACTAAGTGACCCCCATCCTTCATTCTGCCAGCATGTGAAGGATGTGTTGCTGTGCCGGCACTCCCCTTGCCACTAATTCTTGTCATTCAGCCTCCTGACAGGACTAAACCAAAACTCTTCCCGTTCCTTGAAAGGGAAGGTTAAAATATTTATTTCAGCTCATAATGGCCTTCCTGATTTACTGGAGTATCATTTTTCCTGTTGCCTTTGTCATTGCAGGTCACTGGAAGGACTGGAGACATTTAGCGGCTTGGAAGAACTCATCTTGGACAACAATCTCCTCGGGAATGACCTCCAGTTGCCCAGGTTACCACACCTCCATACCCTGACGCTGAACAAGAACCAAATATCCTTCCGAAAGGAGGGGGCCGGCGAAAGCTTGCCAAATGTCAAATGATCTTTGTCTGTCAGCCAAATTAAAGTAGGTAAAATATAGTTCACATGCAGACAAAGCATTCCCTCTCTTTCTCTTGTCAGTCAGAATCCTTCACAGTAATTTATTGCAGGTCATTCATAAACGAAATGCTTCACTAGATCTTCCTGTTGCTCTGTTTTTTACCATGAGATCTAAGTTTATGACTCTGAAAGAATTTGTGTTAATAGATTGAGAAGTGGAAATAACAGCCAGTTGTGCTTGGAAACACTTACCCAGCCCGCTTGGGTTCTGTAGCAGACTGACCTCTAGTGGAACAGAGCGTGCAGTGAAACAAGAAGAAACAGAGGCTTTTATGCACTGAATCTCTTGTAAAGAAAAGGCACTGTGCTGAATTTGGCAACAGCACTCGCTCAACAAGACCAGGCAGAACTAGTTTCCCCTTTCCGCTAAATATGACCCATAATTGTGACTGAGCTGAACAGAGTGTTTTGTAATTAGCGAACATAACCTGAATGAGACAGTTTGTTGTCATTATTATTATATGGCTGGGCTTTAACCTATGGGTGACACCATGAATCAGAGCCCCTCAAGAAGCACCGTTATAAACAATCGGGAGAGTCAGAGTCTTGCAAACTCAAGATGATGGTTTTCTTTATGGACCCAATCCATCTACAGTGTGATCTTTCTCTTTTCCTACTGCCTCCCACCATTCTCAGCACTGTAATTTTTTCCAGTGAGTCATGATATTTTCAGACATGCCCAAGTGCAACAGTCATAGTTTATCATCATCATCATTAGTATTTATATCTTACTTTTTCTCTCCCAAAATGGCTACTCATTTGTCATTTTGGCTTCTAGAGGTGGTTCAGGAACACAAAATATGGATTCTACTTCCCGCACTGGTGTTGTTTAAATCATTCAGTCTGTTTAAGTATAGTAGCTTAGCTCAGTTTTAATGCTGTACATTTGTATGTTTAAACTATATTGTGTTTTAATTTGTAAAGTGCCATTCTTGGGGAAATGACAATCATAATCTTCTCTTATCTCTTATCACCCAATAGTTGGACAACAGGTCTGCTGTCTGTGACAGGAATACTGGTGGCTTCTACTGCAGAAAGAGGCTTAGTAGCCAAGCCTGTAGTAATGACTGAACCAAAATTATCCAATCAGCTTTGCTGTTTTGAATATTTTATACATTTTATTCAAACAACGGATGCTCAGGAAAAACTAGTGAGAAGGCTCTGGACAGTGGGAAGGATAGAGAGAAATCATTACCAGATCTTATCCCTGCTGATTCTAATGAGCTGGCCAAATGACAAACATCATGCCCTGAGGCTTATGATGTTTGAAAGGTTTTAATGAATGGACCTGATCACTTCTCGGTATCCTGATTAGCAAAGGCATTTGGGCAAGTCACAAGTCTAAATCATAATTACATTCTTATAAATGAAACTTTGTTTTCTGTACACACCCTCCAGTGGTGTTATTTTGCCAGTTTAATCATAACGATCCCAATAATTCTAATAATTTGTTTGGAGTGTTCAGAGAATTCTTGTATCTGAAATCTAAAATGGGCACCCATAAAGAAGAGAAACCTCTGGCCTATGGAAGAGAAGAATTTGGCTCCCTGGAAGATCTGAGGTGCCTCACATGACCTTAACCAGTCAATTAATCTATATGCCACCCCCTCCCAATCAGTTGGGTCAAGGACACATAAAGCTGAGCATTTTCTGGCAACATTTTTGAGAGCTCCTGAGTCCGATTATAATTATAATCATAAAGCTGAAACTTTCAAGGCTAAATAGAAAGAGCTTTCCTCCTGCTACTTTCTTTTCACATTGTGAAGGGAAAGCAGCAATAAAAGCAGATTCCCAGAACAAGCCTTAACTGGAAAACCTCCTCCCAACACTTCAAAACCCTACCCGATTTTTGAGCCAAGCATTATAAGGACAGAAGCATGATAGGGCATATTGCTTCCCAACAGCAAGTGATTAAAGAGTGCTATTACCAATCTGGATTGATAGCACATGGGGATGGTGGGACATTCATGGCTAATGGAAAAATAGACCGGAAACAGATGGGGACAAAAACTTAATAATAAAAACTCATCCAATACTTTTTTGTTTGAATTCTGTAATGCTCATAGGAAGTGAGGCAAAGCCAAAAGGGCTGCCATTCCTCTTTAAATTAAGAAGAAATAGGCTGCTTCTCACCACAAGGAGAGGAAAGCAGCAGGGCAGGATTAGCTGAGTGAGCTGGGAAAGCAACTGAGAGGGCACTGAGAATTCTGGGAATTGTAGTTTAGGAAGGCAAAGAATTCAAATGTCCCTACTCTGAACTACATTTACCAGAATTCTGCTCAGCATCAGAAAGCCTCAATAGGGGAGAGATTTGTCCCTCCTAGCAGCAACCAGCCAGAGTTCCAATAAATTGTTGAAACTGCAAAGAGGAGGACTGACTGATAGTTCAACCCTAGTAAGCAAAACTGTGCAATTTAGGGAAGAAATCCCTAAATTGAAGTTCTATTGGTTAAAGACATTAAATGAGATAGCTGTTGTGGCTGTTTTTGTCAACACTTCTTAAATGTCCCAAAATAAATAGATATATTAATATTTCTGAAACTTGGGGGGAATGATCCCCAATTATCTTGTGCCATTGTATAGAAAATTCAAGGAGATAGTAGTTTTTTTTTAAAAAAAGTTTTTGTAAAAACTTTGGAAATTCCCCAAAAATTCATAAATGAATGAAATGTTCTGAAACTTGGTGGGCAAACAGAGGTAAATGTGTTTTATGATTGTAGCAAATGTCATGCCAATAACTTTAACAACTAGGAAGGAAGCAGCCCTGAAGTTTCCCCATTGGCACAATTACTTAACAAAAAGTAACGAAACTCATTATAGTTATGATACAGACCCCATCCAATTTTGTAAACACTTTAGAAATTATTTTTCCCCCACACCCTAATTTTGTAAAGAATATTAAAATATTTTTTCCAATGATTGCACAGGCCTATTGCCTATTCTCTGATGTTTTGTATTTGCTTGGCAGGATTGGAATCCCTTCATTTCTTCCACTAAAGAGTGTTTTTAAAAGTTATTGTTAAAAAGCCATTCTTACAGTTTGGAAATACAACAGAGTGTAACTATCTTGGATTGAGATTTTTTTGAGCAAAACATTATTATTATTATTATTATTATTATTATTATTGCTATCATCATCATCATTATGATGTTTATTTATATCCTGCTTTTTCTCACCAAAGAATCTTTTTGACTCTTTAAAAAATTATAATGAGACTACAAAACCCATCCAGATACTTTGATTTCCCCCTGGTAATCTTGTACTTCTGACATGAGTTGCAGATGGTAGACATTCTTGTGATCAATTGTAGATAGATATGGAAGATAAAGCCCAAACATACCTGGGATAGGAAGGCTCCATATACCTGAGCAACACTGAGGCCCTCTCTTGAACATAATCAGCCATTAGGCTTAGTTTCTGCTCATTAGGCGAGGAGAGGAAGCATCAAGTCCAGCTGCTTCTCATCTTTCCAGGTCCTGTGTGATAGCTGTTCACAGTATAACTGCAGTGTAATATCATCTTTTTATCAAGAGGAACTTTCCAATTGCATGTATCATTCACTTCATTCCTCTCCCTGAGAAACGACATGCCCTGCATCTCTTCTCCTATAAATGAGATGTCCACTGGTGAGAAAAACAGAGAAAAAAAACATGGGGAAGGCATCAAGCATCCCTTGGAGTCTACTGTTTCTCTGGGGTAATTTGGAATTCCTTTTGCATGAAATAAAGATATTTAATGCCTCCCGTATTACCTGTAATTTTGGCCAGTATGTGTAAAATGAGTTACATGACCAAAAGACTCAATCCTACAGCATGGTTCTTGCATTTTACAACTCTCCTCAATTGACTGTATGGCTACTACAAATAAGATGTAAATTAGAATGCACATGGCGATGGGAAGGTCTCAAAGGGTGAAAGTTCTGTTTCTATCCTGTGGCGATGCCACTGCCCTTCAGTTATTGAGGTGAAGAAATGGGGTATATTCCATCTACAAGAGATAACAAAGGTAACAGGATAACATAAATCATAGCCGGGGATAAGCAACATAAAATACTGAGCATTTAAGATAACCACATAATAATTGTAGCACACAGCTCTAGACATGGATAAATAAAAGTATGAATTTTTCATTTAAACCAATTATTTCTGCCATTGTAAATTAAAGAAATTGGCTTTTTATGTCCTCTGTATGTAAATTGAAAGAAATATTATTTTATAGGGAGCATTCAAAGCGTAGATCCTTTATTTTAAATATTTAGCTAGCTAGCAAAGTTATTGTAGTGGTGAAAACTCTGACTTCCAATACCCCTGATTGAAATCTTATCCCGGTCTTGCTCACTGTGTTGCCTTAGAAAACAAAGATTCACATCGTAAGCTACCCTATAATAGATCAGACTATTTACATGGCCAGAAACCTGTTTATTTAAGACTAGGGTTAAGGCAGTTTCATTCTAGTGAAACTTTCAAAAAGCCAGGAAACTGAGGATGAGAATTTCTTCTAGGTTTTTTATATTCATTGGAATTTTAGGCAATATCATAAATTATGCTTGCTTTTATATACACAGTTCTATTATATTTTAGGCCCTGGCATAAATAAGCAAATAATTATCCTTCCCTGACAAACAAAGCATATTGCTGAGTAAATTTGAATAATATTCCAGAAGATTCCACCACCCTTTTTTGTCAATGATGTACACTTGGATCTCGGGATCCATAGTAAATTGATTCCAGGAGTGCCCCCATGGATACCAAAGTCCTCAAGATGCCTCGTGAGTTAGATGCCATGAGAAGAGATAGCAAGGTGGCTTCTTACAAACTCATCACATTCACCTTTCAAAATGTCCTAAAAAACTTCCACTCCAGCTGGAGGATGGATGGTCTGCTGTGGAGACCCCTCCTCCAACTAGAGGGAAAGTATCCTACAATGCTTCTCCCTCAACACAGGAGTCTTCCCATGCAAAGGGGAAAGTGTCCCCAAGAGGGAGCTGCGTGCAGGGCAGTGGATTTGACCCAACTGCCCCTCATTTTGGTAGCAAATCCAGGCAAAGTGGAATACTTTACCTAGCTATTATGATAAGGCCCCTGTTGTTGTTCATTCGTTCTGTCGTCTCCGACTCTTCGTGACCTCACGGACCAGCCCACGCCAGAGCTCCCTGTCAGCCGTCACCACCCCCAGCTCCTTCAAGGTCAGTCCAGTCACTTCAAGGATGCCATCCATCCATCTTGCCCTTGGTCGGCCCGTCTTCCTTTTACCTTCCACTTTCCCCAGCATTGTCTTCTCTAGGCTTTGCTGTCTCCTCATGATGTGGCCAAAGTACTTCAACTTTGTCTCTAGTATCCTTCCCTCCAATGAGCAGTCGGGCTTTATTTCCTGGAGGATGGACTGGTTGGATCTTCTCGCAGTCCAAGGCACTCTCAGAACTTTCCTCCAACACCACAGTTCAAAAGCATCTATCTTCCTTCGCTCAGCCTTCCCTAAGGTCCAGCTCTCACATCCGTAGGTTACTACAGGGCCCTAGTCTCTGCCAAACTTTAGCGCATCACCCTCTGGCTTTTTTCCCCACTCTGCCTCAATAGGGGAGTTCTACGGAACAGCTTGAGGCCACCATAGATGTGAAGCCACCATAGAGCAGATGTGAAGCCACCATAGATGTTCTACAGACCTTAAAATATTTTTTGTCCTATGTTGGCTGAATTAATGGATGTAGAACCCTTGGATACAGAAGGCTGTCTATATCCTTCAAGTAAGTAATTGCGCCGGCCCGCAAAACTACTTAACTCATGCCTCATTGATAGCTTCTTTCTGCTTCTTCCCTGATGACAGAACTATACTGTGTTTGATTTATGTGCTAAGAAGATCCCATTGACTTGAATGGCCACAATAACTAATTTTAAAAACCAACTACCCTGAATTAAACAATATTAAAAATCCATGAAATCCAAACTATTTATTTGATATTCACAAATTCCCATTTCTCCATCCACTTCTAGCTCTCTAACTACTGCCTTTAAAACTCTAGATCTCTAGGCCAGTGGTTCTCAACCTGGGATCCAAGGGCTCCTGGGGGTCCATGATTGTCACAGAGGGTCTGTGAAGGATTAAATTATTAATTATTATTGGTGTTGATACTATTATTTTAAATTCATAAAGGAGTGTGTGCATTAATAGATTAATTTATATCCTGCTCTCTCTAAATTTGAAGGAACATTCATGAGAGAATTGAAATAATTATTTGATGTACCTTAAATCTTGAGTTAAGTCTTGGAGGTTTGCAGCCACAAAAGTATTTAAAAGAGGATCCAAGTGAAGAAAAGGTTGAGAACCACTACCATAGACTGTTTTTATTTCAGGAAAATAAATGGTCTAATTTTCACAACTAGGAAATTCTTATCACAGTAATTATCATGAAGGTTTGTTTAAGATGCCAGAAACAAAGACCAGTGAATCAAATAGAGTACCTGATGTATCTTTTGCTTCATCCAAGTATTGTTATTTTACTGGCTTTCTGCCAGAATTTCCCACAATACTGAGTAATTCCTCTGGACAAGCTCAATTTAAGTAATAATTATGAAAAAGTAAGTGTGAGTAGAAGACAAAGCCAAATGAGGCCATTAACATGCATTAAGATCATTCTAAAATTATATTTTTATTCCACTTTTTCCTTATGAAAAGTCTTCAGAGATGCTTACACGATTTTCATCCTTCCTTGGTTCTTCTGGTAAAACAGGTTTGACAAGTGTTAGTAGGGTTTCTTAGAATTCATGCTATTTTTGCAAATTTCTTTACATATTTTCAACAATTGCATAGTTTAGATTTCACTGTGAGGCAGGCCACAAAGTGAATAGCCTAGTGGATCTGCACATCACAGGTGTGACCTAAGTTAGGGGTGCCAATTCACAACATCTTTGAATAACTTTCTGTCTTATTTAATATCATCCCAGCCTATATCTCTTTTAAAAATGATTAAACTAGAGCAGGTTATGGTGATGATCACTCAAATTGTTACTGGCTTGGTTTCATGATACAGAAAATCACATCAGACCAAAGCTAGGAACGTGTATCTGTAAAAATCATATTTCTACTGCTTTTGTTACCATTTAATCAGCAATCTAGAAGTGATCTTGTGATCTCATCACACAATGGAATTTTAGCATCCTAGGACATTTCTGCCCCAGTTAAATGATTGAGCCCCATGCCGCTAACCACATGATGTAGCCTCACTTCTGGCAGGGCGCCATGGGTGAACTGAAGTAGCAGTGTAGTAGGATGCTGCACCACCAACATGGGAGCCTCCCCGTGTTCCATTTGGAACAACTGGGATACCACAGGGACAAGTCATGCATGAAATGGGGAAGCATCACTTCTAGCTGAGATTACTCTGCTGATTCTCCATGGAGGCTGGCAAATTGGTATGGGGGACCTCATCAATGTGATCCTTATTGTGCTTTACGTCACAGCTCTGTAATCTGATTTCTGGAAGCATATGTAGCGATATCATTTTCAAGTGTAAGATATCTAAGGCCCCATCTTAGATGGTCCAAGGATGCATCAGGCATGCTAGACTATCACTTGTGACATATGTGTCACTGATGCTTCTCCTGTGGGTACCCCATGCTGTGATCAATCAAGAGGGGTGACTTCCCCACTTTCTTTTTAGATGCACAAGCAGAACACTAATGTCAGAAGTTCTCACAGAGCTCTGTGACCATCTGGGAGCAGTAACACAGCAGCACAGGCCTATCTATCTTCTTTTTCCTGGGCTGATGAGCAGAGAGAAAAAGGGAAAAATGTGGATAGTAGACTGGTCTGAATTGAACCTGATCCTGCTGTCCACATTGCACTGAAGTCACAAAACTGCTCCAGAGTTTCAAGAAAACTACTGACTTTATCCCACAATACATACTAGAAGTCTAAAGGCATTATGAACACAACTAGAATCCATTGCATGTTGAATTCAGGCTATTAGGCCCATGCAGAGAAGTCCCTTTGTCTATATCCATTTCAGTGGCTGGTTTCACTATTCCCTTACAATGTCTATGTTATATGAACTGTGATGCTATAAAGCTGATCTTTTAAGATAATACATAATCAAGCATTTCTGTTTATGTAATTTACTCACTGCTAAGGTGCTACAAATACAGACACCAACTTATAAAGTCATATTTACTGTGGGATCAATTCATGTTACAGTTTCCTTACTATTTAAGTATGTGTGTATGTGAGTGTGTGTATGTATGTGTGTGTATGTGTATATATATATATATATATATATATATATATATATATATCCACATACACACACACACACACATATATATATATCTGTGTGTGTGTGTGTGTGTATATATATACACACACACACATATGCATATATACGATTTTTTCCTATTGTGGATGAAGGACAGATAATAAATTCCATGGATGAATAAAATAAGAAAAGTATACAATATGTTAGGAAGGTGAAAAGCGAGCTGATGCATTTTGCTTTTGTAAATTTTGCCTTTTGTTAATGTTGTTTAAACCTTAGCCCATTCCCTTGGGCACATAACAGAATTGGAGAGCCTGCTGGATCATTTATCTGAAGTAGTTCCTGCCTTGGAGTATCTGAGTTTGCTGGGAAATACAGCATGCCCAAATGAATTGGTCTGCAAAGACAAGGATGAGGGAGACTACCAAAGGTACAGGTTAGTATCTTTGGACTGCAAATGTCCAAAATGTCTTCCTATGGAAAAAAAATATGTCAGTATTATAAGGTTATACCATCTCCCTTCCATATACCAATTGGTGTGTGTGTGTTTATAGTCTTCTAATATTTGTGACAACAAAGGAGTGGAGCCTGATGGATCCTATTGATATTTATTTGGAAAGCAGATGTAATCAATTATATCCTCCCCTACCTTTGTTAAACATACTCTAAATCAGGGGTCCTCAAACTTTTTAAACAGAGGGCCAGGTCAGAGTCCCTCAAACTGTTGGAGGGCCAGATTATAATATGAAAAAATATGAATGAATTCTTATGCACACTGCACATATCTTATTTGTACTGCAAAAAACCCAACAACAACACTTAAAACAATATAATAATTAAAATGAAGAACAATTTTAACAAATATAAACTTATTAGTATTTCAGTGGGCAGTGTGGGCCTGCTTTTGGCTGATGAGATAGGATTATTTTGGTTGTTGTTGTGTGCTTTCAAGTCGTTTCAGACTTAGGTTGATCCTGAGCGAGGGCCGGGTAAATGACCTTGGAGGGCCATATCCGGCCCCCGGGCCTTAGTTTGAGGACCTCTGGTCTAAATCTTTAGTTAGACCTGTCTGCTACTTTCAGCAGATCTAATATGTATTCTGTGTGATAACACCAGAATACCTTTATTGTATGCTTTACAGACATTCTGAGCTGTTTATTAATTTCTCAATCAAATAATATATTAAAAATCCTGAAATGATTTTTTTGTTCAAAAGAGACAATAATTGGTAACCATGGGATTAAAATAATATTAGTATTTGTCAAATGCTGCATTTAATTGAAATCATGCTCATAAAACTGGCAGATTGACAACTTGATCTATTCTGTGTTGTGTTTCAGACATCTTTGGAAAATAAATTTAAAGCTGTCCTTTAAATGAAAGAATCTAATGAGCCACATTCTGAATTGTGCATAAATTCATCGTCTTGGATTCTGCTAAGTGGCCTAGATTGAATAACATATTTTCCTCCCACCTTAACCCCAAACTGGAAAGCATATTGGCCATCCTGCTTACAAAATGCCTAGTAGTGGTGTTGCCATGCAAATTTATGAGACATTTTCACCACAGCATTGCTTAAAAATGAATGATAGCTCTATAGTTTACTGTTTTTCACTTTAAGTACATTTTTCTGACAATATGCCTCTTATTAATCATTTAAGCAAAAGTAGTTTCTTAAAGGAGCTATTCAGAAGCAAGAATCCATGGTTCATTTAATGCTGTCTAGGGGAGGAAAGTCTTGTTGAGTGACATTCTCTGTGGTTCTGTGATGTAATATTTATGATATGTCACACAGCTATACATCAAAACAATCACATCCGTTACTGCATTTGCATACAAAATGTTGATATATATATATATATATATATATATATATATATATATATATAGGGTCAATAAATGTTTTAGGCTATACTTGCCAAAATGTAAAAGATCTGTGTTTATTCATGTACAAATATTGCTTCAGTCTTACCCTTTATTTTTCTCATATTCTTTTTGACATTTCTGTTCTCTAATTAAAATAAGCTATAAAATAAATCTGATTCAGTTTAGTGCCATATCAGACTACACTAAAACCTAAACAAACCTCTCTATTGTTTATTTTCTGCCACAAAAATAGCACGGGACAGCCTTTATTTTTGCAGATTAATATATGTATGCATTTACATAGTATATGCACTGCATCCATCAAACCATATGGGGGTATTTTGAGGGTACATACCTAGAAAACTAAAGAACAAGATTATACCAGTAAGGCATTGCTTGAAATGGGAGGTTTATATGATTAAGGACTGTATGGCTCTATTCTGAACCTTGTCTTCTTCTCCAGTGGTCCACATGCATATCTCAAAAGGTATTAACTGCTCTTCCTCAGCAACTAGAAGGAAATAGTGGCATACTGGCCGATTATGTGAAAATCACAGATTGGTTACTTCATTAGATGGACCAATTTGCCTGTTATATGCAGCTCCCTCTCCACTTTTATCACGGAGCCTATTAGATGACACACAGGGACTTCTGGCCAGATTCTGTGCCAAAAGAGGAGAGGAAGACGTGTACACCACATCGGTAGCAACACTGGAGCCTTCCCGTTGGTGACATTTCCTACCATGGGATGAGGGGCTAAGGCAAGTCGCACGATACAGGTTGTAGTGCAAAAATGTTCTCCACACATCCTGCTGGGAGCCCATGGATTTGCCATGATGTGTGGCGAATCCATTGGCCTCTGTGATGAGGTCCTAATTTGTGAACAATGTCAGATCTGGCCATAATGGTACATGTTTTTGTTGCTACCTGTTTGGATTACTGTAATGCACTCTCTATGAGGCTGTCTTTGAAAGGTGCTAGGGAACTCCAGTTGGCCCAAAGAACAGCAGTCAGGTTATTAACTGAGGCTGCCTACGAAGAGCACACTATTCCCTTGTTTGCAACAACTCCAGCTTGCTTTGGGGAACAATTCAGAGTGTTCGTTTTGTGCTATAAAACCTTATACAGCTTGTATATATTTTTGTGAACCTATTATCTGGAGAGCTCCTCCTCTCTTCCCACCCCTCTATCAAGCTTGTTTGGTGGGTGCAAGGGACAAGGCCTTCTCAATAGCTGCTCCCACCTTAGAGAGATCAGGATGGCCTGACTCTGTTTGCTTTTCATGGGCAGGCGAAAACGTTTTTTAAAATAAAAGTTATATGTATATTTTAATATATTCAACATTGTTTTTAATTACAATTGTTTTGTATTTATTGTTAGCTACCTTGAATCCCTGCACTGGGAAAAAGCAAAGTAAAAATTAATTAAGCCAAACAGTGGTTTTGCCAGCACACATCTGCAAGATTGCCAAACTCTTTGTTTATCTTGAGCCAAATTCAGTAGAGACACTATTCTATAGTTTACATTGATTAATTTTTAAACTACCATATTTTCTGGCATATAAGACTACTTTTTAACCCAAGAAAATCTTTTCAAAAGTCAGGGGTTGTCTTATACTCGGGAATTATCTTATACGCAGGAGTAGACGTATACATGGGAGTTGTCTTATACGCGGGAGTAGTCTTATACTCCGGGAGTCATCTATAAGAGTGGGTGCTGAAACTTCTTATCCGGATTGGAGAATCTGTGGTTGCTGCATATGGTGGGGCGGGGGGGGGGGRGGCTCAAATATGGCAGTGGCCACGTCCCTGCCGTATGCAGTGACTGTATGAAAGCATTAAGGGTATGGTAGAAGAAAATATATTCATCAGGATTCGTGGACTTAATGCGGTCCCGATCGTGAGGTGAAGGGGCGCCTCCCCGGGAAGGTGTTAGTGAAGGGCAGAGCAAGCTGCAGGCGTCCGGGGCGCTCCAGGGCATAAAAAAGAGCTAGAGTGGCTCTGGGCCCAGAAAAACACACCTCTTTTACCTGTCTGGTTCGCCCTTGTATTCTGTTACCCTACCTCTTCCTCTGCCTCTCAGATTTCACTCCTGAAGACTGCAGTGAAGTGGTTCAGGTGGGCATGTGCGAGATCTGAGAGGCAGAGAAGGAGGTACAGTAATAGGAAAGTTCCCATATTGAAATCAAATCTGATGCTTTTTACATTTTTATTTGGTGTGCGTTGGAAGAGGGGTCATCTTATAGGGCGAGTATATCCCAAACTCTATTTTAACTGGAAAAGTTGGGGGTCGTCTTATGCAGGAAAATACTGTAGTTTTCTCCATAGAAAGTAAAAGTCACCACAATTGTATTTATTTATTTATTGCATTTATATCTCACCCTTCTCACCACAAAGGGGACTCATGGTGGCTCACAAAAGAGGCAGAATTCAATGCCATATGTACCCACATAGGATAAACCAAACATATACATTAAAACCAAATATTTTTTAAAAAATGTAAAATAAAAATAAATATAAGAGGAGACTTATAATCAAAGTCTTCATGCAGGCAAAATAATCTCAGTATTGAAACTGTAGTTAAGGGATTTTTCTTCAGTAATAATGTTGCTCATTAAAAAAGACACAATAAAAGGAACAGAAGTTTCAAAAGTTACTTCTGCTGAAACATTAAGGTAACCCTGGGTAGATCGAACAGTCAAAAGTGCACACCCTGTTTTAATTTTAATTCTACTTTCCTAATTCACTGCTTATGGAAGAACAAATGCTTACAGTAAGTGGGACTATAAAGGCTCTACTATGGAAGCCATGATAGTGTGGGAATTAGATACTGATGTACTGATACAAACAGTATACTCCATATAAGCATTGGGGCATATGAGCAATTTAGTGGGCATAATCAGAAATTTGGGGGGGGGGGGGAAGGTAAACATTATTTCCCATGCGTTAAAGAGAATGGTTGTTCGAAAATAAATCAGGCCAAGGAAATTTGCTTCCTGAAGTTGAAAAGAAAATGGTTCTTCCTCCTCCTGGATAAAGTAGATAGAACCACAATTTGATTACCTAAAACAGAAAAACCTGTGTACACTTCTCCCCATCCCCAGCAATTACAGAGAATGAGTGAATTTCAGAATGAGCCAGAGTGGGACCTGTGAAATCAATGGGATGTAAATAGTTATGACTAAGTACTATCGATTTCACTAAGTCTAATTTATGTATGACTAAGTCCAAGCCTAAAATAATAAATTAATAATGAACAATGTGCTAGCTTTGGCAGACATCAAAAACCTGTTGCTTCAATGTTACTCGGTGTAAAGGTAGAAATGTTCCTGCAAAATGTAAGAGAAGTTCAAAGTCTCACTACGTTTCTGTAATTTCTTTTATACACCTTAAGGGGATTCTAAGAAAATGATCCACGGTGGGAAGAACAGAAACCTAAAATTGTTTTCCTTTTTTAAAAAAACAGGATTCTTCTCAGCACTACTACAGTCTAGATAATATTGGTGTTTTTATTCATTTTTTAAAAGAAAGCCTGAAAATATATTTATAGTTGTGTTATGAGTTTTAAGTA